TATAATTATTATCAAAGAATAGGTCTTCATATAAAAAAATAATATTATGATTAATAGATGTGCTATCTATAATATTGTTGTCTTGCATAACGAATTCAGTATCGGTACATGCTTGATAGGAAAATGGACCGACTCCTTGAAAAGCACGAATATTTTGTTCTTCATAAGAGTTAGAATAAAGAGTAACCTTGTCAATATTGTCTGATGTTTGTGGATATCCTGATGGTGATGATGGAGTCGATGCGTGATTTCGCAATGAATTAGGGATTGTGGAGGATAGCATAAATGTTCCTTCAAATTCATTTTCAGGACCGTTAAAAGCAGAGACCTGTTCAGATAATTTACAATTCGCCTTCGGCCCACGTTTTTTACCCGAATCAATAAAAGTACACTCAAGATTACGTAGTGTACAACGTTCACAAATTACATTTCCAGAGCATTTTGTGTGTTTTTGTTGACAATTTGTACATGCCCTGCTGACATAAAAACCTCTTCGTTGTCGCTGTTGACCTGGATAAGACATGATTGATTAACGATAAATAATTAATTAATATGTATTATTATAGATGGGTCGTTGATGACACTGAAAAAAAAGTTTTGTCGTTTAATCAAAATATGAACGATAAAAAATTATATTAAATGCGTAAAATTTATGAAATTGTCAATGGAAAAGAGGACAAGAACTCCCAAAAAATACTATAACAACTAGCAAGACTTTAAGGAAAAGCTCTGATCAATCATTAAAATTTATGAGGCTACGTATCAAGACATCCTTTTATAATAAATTTACAGCTTACTATTGTAATAATACTATTTTTTATATTTGATATTGTCGGGATAAAATACTGCTTTTTTTGTTAATTCTGTCATAGGGCATGTTATTCAGATGGAATTTCTATTTGGGCTTCCGATTGCTTTATTTTTTCAGTTTTTAAGTCAATCCTAATTTTGTGATACGCTTCATTAAAGTTTTTTATTATACAACGTATAAAAAAAAATAAAGTTTGGTGATAAAGTAGATGTCGCAAATAAATTTATTGCAATATTACTATTACAGTATACTATTTTTAGAGATGAAAAACTGGGATATAATCGATATTAAGGTGACATTTTGAAGTTTTTTATTGTACTGTACGAACGTATAAAAAAAATAAATAAATAAAGTTTTGTGATAATGTTGATGTCGCAAATAAAGTTATAGCAGTATTGTGATCTGAAAACTTATAAAAAGACCCCATACCCCATTCCCAACCAGTGAAAAAAATTTTTTTTCCCTGTGAACATAAATTTAAAAGTTTATGTTCCTGTTGTTCCCAATTTTTTTTTAAATGTTCTTGGGAACATTAGATATTAAACATTGCTCCAACCTCTCCCATTCTTACTTTCTGAATTTGGTGGTATATAATTCACCCTCGTTATAACGTAGTGATCGGGCGGAGAAATTCTGTCCGTTATAATGAATATCCGTTATAGCGTTATATAGTATAATAATAAAAATTTTAAATTGTTCCAGAGAATTACTCTGTTATAACGAGGTATCCGCTATAACGTAGTCCGTTATAACGAGGGTGACTGTATTTACTTCAATAAACCTGTTTGATATATAGGTATATACGGATTAATCCCACCTTTACCGCTGAGCTCAACATCTTAGATTGGTGTCTTTACATTTAGTTTTTGCTATGGAAATTAAATGAATTCCGCGGAGTTAACCAAGAAAACATGGTTAATACTATACACGCCGTATAAACTATTTCGGCATTGACTTTTAATATGAAACCGCTGAGGTACCTAAACGGTTTCATATCAAAATCAATGCTGAAATAGTTTCTACAGCATGCATAGTTAATACCGAGCAAAATTTTTTATAAAACTCTGCTTCGAAAATTTCTGATCAGATAAATCGTCACAATCAACTACTACTATCAAGGCAGAAAGTATTTAACACATCAAAATATCACCTAAATACAGTCAGACCTCTCTAAGTGCACCCTCTTTAAGTGCACACCCTCTCTAAATGCACGCTCAAGTGCCAACCCGAATATATACTTGACCTCCATAAATGCACTTTTCTTATTATTCTTTATATGCACGTTATTAAAGTATGGTCCCAACGGCGTGCGCTTAGAGAGGTCTGGCTGTATTCACAAAAATCAGCAATGTTCCTTCTGCTTAAGCAATGAGAAATTGGTTATTTATACTTAAAGATTTGAAATAGTATATTTAAAAAATTTTCTATATACCGGTAATAAAAAAACAAAACATTAAATTTAATGTTGATTTTAAAAACAGAGAAGAACACAATACTATTTTCTATTTTCTTTATATTTTAATTCAAGTTCTTTCACTTATAAGTTAAAATGAAACCCCTTTCCATTCGATATTTCTAATTTAAATTTCCATTCCTATTCTTTTTCTATTCGTTCATTTTCTAACTTAAGTTTCTATTTTTGTTTTTCAAACTTTTTTTCCCACTTTAATTTTTCATGCTTTTATATTTTAAACGTTCTTGTGCCATATCTAAAGATGCCTTCTTTGTTTTTTTAATAAGTTTAACTCATCTAAATAATAGATAAAATTTTCATTTTCGATTTGAACTGGTATCAGTATGATCTTTACCTTTTAGGCTCTACAATTTTTAAAATTTTAAAGTACTATATAATAAATATCAATATAATTTACTTAATATAAAATAATATACTATAAAAACCTCAATATAAAGAAATCTTAAAAAATGAGTATTAATAATATAGATCATTTGTAACACATGCTTGAAATTAGGTTATACAATATGTATATCCAAATAAGTTAACTGGTATATAGTATAAAATTAGAAACTAGATAATCTATTCATTTATTTCATCTAAATATGGCCATTTTGACCTTGCCTTTCCGGTTTTTTCATGTCTTTCTCATATCTCGTTCTAAATGCCTGAACTTTTGAATCAACCTGTGCACTAGTTCAATTAATACCAATATTAATTGTTGCTGCAACATGAAATTTTGGCTTGTTTTGTCCGAAATTTTTATCTTTAACTAAATGCTCCATTTTATTTATGCGTTTAGACAACGTGCTAATATATTCTTCGTTAATATCACAGTTCTTGCATTGACTTTTTTACGATATATGTATCAAAATTATCGCTAAAAAAGAAATGTAAAGTTCTAATATCAGATTCACTACAATCTAATTACTATCTGTAATACTAATTTCATTTGGATTTTATTCTGAAAAAATGATGGTATACAATTAACAAATCCTGAAATGTTAATTTGATCCATTGCATAGAATATTTACCAAGATCTTTTATTTGACTAATATATATATTTTACTTTTAAACACGTTGATATCCAGATCGAGAATTTTATAATTTTAATAATTTTAGAACTTATCACTATTTGCTATTATTAAACTTAATAAAATTTTTTAATAATTACGTTCGTATGGAGTGCCACAAAAAGAAACCTGTAACAGTAATTCTTCATCAAATAAGAACTACAGGTTTTCTCTTTGCAGCGCTATGTATATGTTGTAAGTGGATACAGAATAAATATAGTTTCGGAATCCACTTAAGTTGAATTCAAATCCTAAAAAGAAACTTAAGTAGTTACGGAATTTTATGCGATCATGTAATACGAAATAATATTGTACACTTAAAATGATCGTACTATTATTTACGAAAATCTCTTTTCTTAATCTAAGACGCCAATATAAGAATATCTTTTATTTCACGACAATTCTTTAATAATTTGGTTAATAAATATCTTTAAGGAAAATTTTACACCTTTATTTCACAAAGTGACTATGGTCTTATATCATTATCGCAGTACTTCATTAACCCAGTAATACAAGCTTAAAGGTCGATACTGAATTAATTAAGAGCTGAAACAAATCAAACCGTCCAAATAATTAAATCATAAAATGAGAATTAATTAATCAATGTTGAATACCAAATTGAATGAAAATCAAGAATGAAAAAAAATAATAAATATTCCTCTTGAATATTTTATTAAAGACTATGCATTTCCAAATAAATCATAGTGAGACATACTGGGTGTTTCAAAAGTTCCAAAACACGATCACTTTTTTTTAAAAAAAAGGACCGTGTTTTGGAACTTTCGAAATACCCGGTATGCAAAACGAAATTCTCAATACTACCTATGGTATGAATGAACTTATGAATGAACTTATGTCACTTGTAATAACAGAATAATCGAATATAAAGGTACATTACCATAATAATGAAAATAAAATGCAAATATAACCGCATTTGTGGGTACAGTATCATCAATAACGTATTACGTTATATTTTTTTTATTTATTAAAGGGAATTGATATTCGTACCCAAATTTCATATTCAATGTATAATCAAATATATCCACCTACAATATAGATACGCATCAAAATATCTATTATTCGGAAATTTTAAAGCACTACTATTTTATCTGCATAGAATAAAGACCTTCTTTATTACTGTATTGGGAAAGTGCTATAGTTACCCTCCATTATTTATGCAATATGGTACGTAATACATGATGATCAACGCTAATTGATCGTCATAACTATTTGTAATAACTTTGTGTTATAATTTTTTTTTATCGTACAGTACATTGTAAACTAAAACTGTGGCTAGAATTTTATGTCGTAAAAGTAGATGTAATCTAGTGAAACTTTTTGATGCTACGTAATAAAAGTCATTACAAATTCTCGGCGGTTTTAGGTCACCCAAAAATAGATGGATCACGCCATTTGGCGATAAAGAATAATATATAAAACAAAGAAATGAAAAAAAAATTGTCTATAGTATTAATTTATGTGTTGATTCATAATTATCTTCTGAAAGCTTTGCGAGTTGTTATAGTACCTTTTTTGAGTTCTTACCCTTTTTTTTATTAGAGAATTCATAAAATTTTACGCATTAAATATAACTTTCTTTGTTCATACCTTTGATTAAACGATAAACTCCTTTTGATTGTCGCAACGACCGCGTTGATAAATCATGGCTTTTTCACGTCAACAACGAAGAAAACGACGAGGCTTTTATGTGACCAGGGCATGCACAAATTGTCAAAAAAAGCATACAAAATGCTCTGGAGGAGTACATTGTGAACGTTGTACGCTACGTAATCTTGAATGTACTTTTATTAATTCGGGAAAAAAGCGTGGGCCGAAGACGAATGGTAAACTCCTAGAACATGTCTATGTTTTTAACGGTCCTGAAAATGACTTTAATGGAACATCTACGCTATCCTCCGTGATCCTTAACGCTATACATGGTCACGCATTAACTTTATCTTCATCTGGATATCCCGATAATATTGATGAGGTTACTCTTTATTCTAATTATTATGAAGACCCAAATATTCACTCTCTTTAAGAAGTCGGTCCCTTTTTTTTTATCAAACATGTATTGATTTTGGATACGTTATGCAAAGTAACAGTTATAGATTAATAACAATATTTTCTTTTTTTGATTTATTCTCTGATAATAATTATATGTTGTCAATTCACAATTAAGCATTGTGTTTTTGGCATTTCTGATAATCCAGAATTTTCATGCAATTGAGCCGTTATTTTTATATTGTCATTTATAGTTTAAATGATTCTCGAATAAAATTATCAATCATATTGCTTTATTGAAGTGTACGTAGCAAAAGATAGAAGCGAATGATATAATGCTCTTATTTATTAAGATTATTATTTTCTTTATTACCTGATGTGAATAAAATAGCACCGATCTTGCCAACTGCTATATCTGATAAAAATCCACGGTGTCTATTTCATATTTCAAATCTGATAACCTGCAATTTCTGATAGCAAATACTAAAAAGACGAGATATCGGTTTGCCCTAATCAATCGTAGGGATAGGAACCGTTTACCGCGTAAAATTTTTTCATATTCCCGGGCCAAACTATGTTTAGTCATTATCTTAATGCCGGTTGAATTATGATTATCACGGTTAAACGGTTAAGAAATTTTAGGCGATTCCAATCACTAATCAATCAGAAAGCGTGAATTCAGTGTCATGTGTCAGTATTTAAGCTAATCCATATATCAACCCTCGATACAAAATACAATCTCTAATGAATATGCACATGTCCGAATAAATTCGCAAGCAATCATATGAGCGGATTTTTTTGTTTTTTTTGGTGATTAAATATTAAATTTCATAAAAGTTAATCCAATCATTTATGTGATCTTGCGTGACCTCCAGTAAAATTGGGATGTATAAACAGCTCGGTTTGAAAGTTTTTAATTGGTTTGAGTCGAGCTCTTTTAAATCGACTCCAAGTCTACTTCTAGACCACATGATATTTGAATAGATTTACTAGAATGTGAAATTTTACGTGCATACTTACGCATGTACTGTACATTGAATTGCATTAAACTAATTATGCTTATGATTTTTTACTTGAGTCTAAGTCTGATACTTACTCGACTTCTGGAGTTGAATCAGTTTGATGATTATATTTGACTGGTCATTTGCTTGCCCTAGCTATAATCCGCTTATGAATCGCTCATGAAACCGTTTAGAAACCTCGTAATAATTATAAATCAATCATTGCATTTAATTGGTCAATTGCTTTTCTTAGCTGTAAATTGCTTATGAAGCTGATCATGAAGCCGCATAATATTATATAGTTATTGAATGCGTAGCAGACAATAATTATAAATTATTTTAGAGATCATTGTCCGGAGCGAAGCGGAGGACTTATATGTTCAGGTCATTAGCCAATTTTTGCCTGTCTGTCCACCCACGTGATCATATATGATCTGCAGATCCGCGCATAACTAGAGGGCTGAGCAGAATTTTGTCTGTCTGTCCGCCCACGAGACCAATCACATAAGTGATAATTTTTTTAATTCGCTCCGGATTTACAACAGCACCTGTTTTCCTAGTTTATAAATCATTACTATATCATTTAATTTTAGAAAAAATCTATTTGTAACAGCCTGTTACGCGCTTATTTGTAACAGCCTATTAATGTTAGGGTTAGCATATATTTGTTTGTGATTGTTTTGAGTTAGTCGATATTATAAAAACAATCTCATTCTCTCACTGTATTTGATATTGTTTTTTAATTAATATATAAATATAAAAGCATGTTACTAATTAAGTAAAATTATTTACAGCTAACAAAATAAAGTATTAACTTACTTCTTTCATAAAGTCTAATGAATTATGAGATCCAGGAAAGGTTTTAAACATTACTCTATATAATGGTATACATAACCACTTGTATTTTCAAAATTTATCTGAAATAATTCATATAATATCTAACCATATTGCTAAAAATTCATCACTAATCTTTTGAATACTATTAACTCTATTCTTTTGAATATTCTTGAGTCTACTAAAAGAAATCTATTTGATAATATTCAAGTGACTCATGATTTTGAGATTTCTTTATACAATTATCAAAGCTTTTATTTCTACTTAACCATCTTGTATTTTACAAGAACTAATCTAATAATTATATACTGCTTTATTCTTTTTAACACTAGTTTTATAATTGTAACAAATAGTGATTTAAAAATTTCTATTAAACTCCTTTTATTAGCAGATAAATGAATATTTTATATTCATCTTTTCAACTCTAATTCTATTTAGATAACAACATATTAAATTCTATAAATTTTATAACTAAATCGACCATAAATAATTAATAAATAACTTACTTGTTAATCTAATAATTAAAATCAGCTTTATTCTTTTCTGCATCAATTCTGTAAATATAACAAATAGCAGTTTAAAAATTCCAATAGAATCGCCTTAGTTAATTTCAGATAATATATAAATGCTTTATACTTATCTCTTTAATTCCAATTCTATTTAGATAACAATTGAAATATTCTATTAAGATCTCTCATCACTGCAGATTTTCAGTATTAGGTACTTAATATTTGTCCTTTTAATTTTAAAAAAAAAACTTTTAGAAATTACAAGTCTAAATAATTTGCAGGACTATAAATTGAGTGCTTTACATTTGTCTTTTCAATTTCTATCTGATATAGATAATAGGGACTTGAAACATCCTATCAGAATTATTTAATTTATAGTAATTGGTGTTTTATATATATCTTTCTAAGACCCAAATCTATAATTAAAATTAAATATTCCTCTTGTATTTTCTATCTTAGCAGATTTGTTTAATAGTAAACAAATGCTTGATTTTTATACTATAAACTATAGATAGTTGTAAGATCATGAGGTTTAAGCTGTAAGTTAAAAAGTATTAATTTGTAAATCAATTAAAATGAACTAAAATTAGATTAAAAAAAAAAAGTTACTTATCCTTTAATGACTTTTATCTTTTTTTAGGCTTATATTTGTGTTTTGCATATTTCATTTGGGTTTTAGCCTTATTAGCATCTTTGCTAGAATTCTTATTATAAATATCAATGCCTTCTATGACTCTAACCTTTCACTTTAGCGAATTTTTGAAGATACATAATGAATGCCTTATATTCATTATTTTTTTCTTTTTTTTTATTTATTTATTTTTTTCTACTTTTTTTTTTTTAAATTAACATTGTCTAGTTTTGAAATATTGAGTTGTTATATTTTAAGAACTCCTAATAGATAAAAAATACATACCAATTAGACCATGTATATTTGAGCTTTTTTTCTTGAGCTTATTGTGGTAAGATTCAAGAGGATTTGTTAATGTAACTTGAAGAAGAAGAAGTAAGTGTTGTCAGGCCCAAAGAGTCTACTTATCCAAATTTTTTAAGTAATTTCTGGTGATATATTTAACAACTGCTAAAATAGAGTAGTTAATTATAGCATCTTGGATAATACCTTCACATTCAGCCTTGGTTCTTTTATATATTGCATAGATTATTTGGTTAAGAGTTGGTCTGTGATATATATTTCTTATCCACATGCATATAATATGAACTGTGCAAAGAAGAATACTACACTCTTGCTCTCCAGCTTGAGAATCTGAAAAGGCTGCCTCAATACTATTAGCTTCTACACTATTCTGGTCAAGAAGCATATATCGTGGGTTCCAGTAAGGGGCAAACTTTTGAATAATTTTAATACTGATATTACCATTTTGCTATTCTTATTACTAATATAAAAATATACACCTATGTTTCAACAACTACAGCTATCATGAATATATAATGTAAACAGTTTTAAATCATGTCTATTAGTCTTATATATCGAGTTTATAAGAGTTAGCTAACTATATCATATTAAATTTTCTAATTGCTCTGAATTTGCGAAGCAAAATCTATAGTAAGACTTTTGAAAAAAAAATTATTCTACTAAATAGTTTTTTTCAGTTAAGAATTTTACTGTTTCAATAATATTAGCCTTTATATTAGAATCACCAACAAGGTGTAAATTCATTAAGCTCATGAGTTTAAATTTAATGTTTGTAACATCTTGCATCTTGAGATATTCTATATCTAAGTTTTCACACATTTTCTTAGCCTTATTTCAAACAATATCCATAATTGCTAGAGGGTAATAACTCTTGACTACTTCTTCACTTATTAACTTTCTAATAAATTTTGAACATTTTCGCATATCAACTTCATCAATATTATGACAATGGTCTGAAGTGCCATTTATGCACTTAACACAGACAATTTTTGTAGCAGAAAACCAGATTATTTTTACTTTGGCTTTACATTCAACAAAAGGTCACTTTCAAGTTACATGAAGCTTTTTGGAAGGGACATCTTCTTTTCTTTTGCTTAATTTCTTTAATTTTGAGAGCCAACACATATAAACTTTCTATTTATCATCATTTTTTTGTTTATAGCCATTGAACCTTATCTAGAAGTTGTATGCAAGAGCCCATTGTTTTTCAAACTCTTCAATGAGAAGCTCAAATAAATTATTGACATTAAAATAACATTCACATAAGCCTGACATTATTAAGTATTTTATTCCTGATTTTTTAATTGTAAATGAAAGGTTTAATTTAGACATGTGAAATATGAGAGACTTAAAGTTTGTAAAAAGTACTGCTCAACTTTTTAAATGTTTTTTTTTTAAAAAAAAAAATTATATAAAAAAAAATTTTTATAAAAAAAATTCTTTATATAAAGAAAAAATATATCACATTAAGATTCTAAAAAATTTAACTGGAAATCTTAGAATATGTCGAAAACAAAGTATATTTGAAAGAAGACTAGACATGAAGTATTGGAGTTAAATATAATATGCTGAAGCCAGGTATAAAAAGCTGAAAAATATATTTAAAAAAAAAACTTTAAAAAAACTTTAAGTGCAAAAAAAAAACTTTTAAGCACAAAAAAAAACTTTTAAGTATATAAAAAAAAAAAAAAAAAAAAAAAACTTCAAGTACAAAAAAAACTTTAAGTGTAAAAAAAAAAAAGCTCTAAGTGCTCTAAGC